CATTGCTTCGTTTTGATTCGCGAGGTTGCTCAGCGTCGTTCGTCTAGTATTGCTGGACGAACTCCTGCTGGCGCGTGGTCGGGACGCGCGGCGACGTGGGATTAGGTTCCCTTTGTTGTTGGGCGGGCTGGGCAATGCTTGGGGGCTCTGTCTCCAAGGGGATAATCCATTGCGGGCTACCTTGCGCGCGGGGGATGTATTAGAATCTTCTCATGCGGAGTGCGATACAGCATGCTCGATTTTGATGTGCGAGTTTGCTCAAACTCGCCTGCCAAGCACTGTCGGTATAACTCCTGTTGGCGCTTGGTCGGCGCCCGCGGGGACATGGGCCTAGATTCCCTATGTTGCTGGGCGGGCTGGATACTGTTTGGGGGTGTTCTCCATCTGGACAATCCATTGTGGGCGGCCCTGCACGCGGAAGGATGTGTGAGCATCTTCTCATGAGGGTTGCATTGGGAATTGCTTCGCTTTGATGTGCGAAGTTGCTCAAACCTGTTCGCCTAGTACTGCTGGACGAACTCCTGCTGGTGCCTGGTCGGCGCGCGCGGCGACGCGAGATTGGGCTCCCTCTATTGTTGGGCGGGTTGGATAGCATTCGGAGGATGCACGCGGGAGGATGTGTACGCGTCTTCTCACGGGCATTGCAATTGGCATTGTTTCGTTTTGATTCGCGAGGTTGCTCGAAGTCGTTTGTCCAGCGCTGCCGACGTGCGATCAGTTTCCCTCTAATGCTTAGCGGGCGGGGTGAATATGCTTGGTGGTTATCGGTCCAGCGGGTAAACCTCCCGTGGGCTACCTGCCCTGCACGATGGAGGATGTGCAAGCACCCTCTGACGAGGATTGCAATAGGAACTGTTTCGCTCTGATTCGTGAGGTTGTTCAGAGTCGTCTGCCTAGCACTGCGGGCAGAAGTCCTGCCGGCGTCTGATCGGCGCCCGCGGTCAGCATGGCGATTTTTCCAGACAATGCAGGGCTGGCTATAGTTTTGAATTGTCCACGCGACAAGGGATGAATTTCTGAGGGCCCGCGCGGGGCCTGAGCTTGAACATTATTTCTCAGGATGGAATTTTCAGGATAAAGTTTCTTAATGCCAAGTGTCTGAACCACGATTTTCCATGATACCGCTGCTGGCGGGTGCCGCGGGGAACAAATAATTAGTTTCCCTCTGTTGGTGGGACACCAGTCCGTCAATAAGGCCGCCGAGCAAATAATCAATTTCACCTATTGGGGATGGGTTCTAAAGACTCTAGAGTTTACGCTAGGACTCCGATTGGATGGGCGACCCCCGTTTTTCGCAGAGGCGCGAGTCCACATTGCAGACGCGCAAATAGTTCGATGCCTCGCGCGCAATCCCTCAAGACCCTCGCAAGGCATGCTGGGAGCGTTTCCTGGGCCCGTCCACGCGACTCAATTCACCCCTGTTTGGCCAGTGGGTTTGGCCAGCAGAGGCCGCCAGGAACGGAGCAACAATCTCGACCCGAAGAGCGTCTCACGGGACCATCCCAAAGCCACCGGCCCAGAGGTTCTTGTCACACGCGGCGACGGCGTCGGCAAACTTCGTGCATTTTTCTGATCTGGTGCCAGCGGCGTGCACGCATTCGCTTTGCAGTTCCTTTTTTCTGCCGTCTTTTCTCGCTCGGCTCAGTAGTGGTGGTGGAGTGTCAGCGGCGTGTTCCTGTGTCAGGGTCCCAGAGGCCGTACTTCGAGTTGCCGCGAGGCTTCTATCCGTAAGGGTTTCGCCCTCTGCCGCCGGCCCCCATCTCTCTTTCTATCTCTCTCTCTCTCTCTCTCTCTCTCTCCTATCAGAGTGGGACACGCTCGAGCCTTGCTGGGTTGCCTGGGCGCGACGTGGAACAATCTCGGAAGCTCCTGCGAGGACGGTTGAGCATTGGGGCGTCATTTACAAGAGATCGTGGCCTCGGGGGCGCAACTCTTGCACTCTTTTCGAGGAATCGTCGCCTCGGGGGCGAAAGTCTGCAATGACTTGCGAGGATTGTGGTTTCGGGGGCTCGATTCTGGCGAGATTCGCAAGGCATCGTCGCATCGGGAACGCGCATCTGGCATACATTTCTGCGGATTCTGACCTCGGGAGCGCCAATCTGGCATTGTTTGCAATAGGTTCTGGCCTCGGGAGCGCGAATCTGGCGTAGTTTGCAATCTATTCTGGCCTCGGGAGCGCTAGTCCAGCGTAGTTTACAATGGAGTCTGGCTTTGGGAGCGCGAACCCAGCGTAATTTCTTATTTTGGCATTGGGAACGCGACTCTGCCGTAACCTAGTATGGCGCAACGCACCAAGGATGCTGGTTTCGGGATCCCGAGCCTTGCGTAATTTAGAAAGGATTCTGGCCCTGGTAGCGCGAATGTGGAGCAATTTGAAAGGGGCTGTTGTTCTGGGGACGTGAGCCCTGTGTATTTTACAAGGGCTGCAATCAGTTACCAGGGATTCTGGTTTCAGTATCGCGAATCTGGTGCATTTGCGAGGGATCATGGCTTCGGTCGCGCGAAATGCTTGCAGTTTGAAAGCGATTGTTGCCTTGGGACTGTGACTCTGGTGTAATTTACCATGGGTCATTGCTTCGGGGGCGCGAATATTATGTAGTTCTACTTGTCCCAGACCCACGAGAAATTCAGGCAACCACGCCGGGGGCAGTAGCCGGTTCTTTTTCGGTCCCGCCTTCTCGCGCGGGCAGTAACAACTTGCAGCGGCAAGGAGACAGCAGAACTACAACACTGGAGACTGGAAACTGGAGCAGGAGCAGGTTGCAGCAAAGCCGCCGCCACGAAGCCCGGTGGCCCAACAAGGGGGGGGGGGCGGATGCACAGCCAGAAGCAGCGGGCTCTGGTGGCAGTGCTGAAAGAGGCATTGTCAAAATTTTCCTGGTGCTCAACGGCCTTTACTACCCAGAGCGCTGCCGCTCTCCAGAGGCTGCGCTTTGAGAGCATGCCCAGTCTTGTTGCCGCACAAGTCCGCCGTGGCGCTATGCCGCGCTCGGGGAAGCTCATCAGAAGAGGCTGACGGTCGAATCAGGGGATGCAGTATTGTAGACAAGCGTATCTGCACTCCGATTTGCGCCTGGCCTCTTCTGCGTTGTTCGATTTGGTCGGCAATCACGTCACTGAGCGCTCGTTGATGCTTTGCGCTCGGTGTTCTTTTTTACTGGAGGGGCCTTGCGGCCGGTTCCGCCGACCCTGAAGGGGGATCCGGAGGCTCCGGCCTGGGTCGTGGACCAGAGCTCTTTTGAATGCACGTACAGTGGGGGGCCATGCCAAGAGACACCCTGCTGGCCTCCAGGGTGCCCTGGGTTTCTTGGGTGCCGATGGTTTTGCGATGGGAAGCGTGACGCTCCCTCACCAAGAGTCGATGGACGTCCTGGGGTCTCAGGGTTGGGTTCCTTGTGCAAGATTCCTTGTGGACCGGCCTCCACTGCAAGGAGCGTTTGGGGGTGCCTCTCGCAGGCTTCTTGGAGGCCGCTGAGTCGCCCCCTTGGGGGCCTCTCGAGGGGCCTCCTGGGAGGCCTCTTGAGGGGCCTCTTGAGGGGCCTGCGGGCTCGCTCGGGGCATCCGAGGGGTCCATGGGGGCCTGCCGGCGGTCATCGTGGGAAGGGGGGGTAAGACTTGTCGGCTCGTGCTCCCTGTCTTGGGCCTCTTGGAGGCCATGTGGCTTTCCTGGGACCCTCTTGGGCCACACGGGGGCCTTCTCTGAGGGCCCTCTCGGGCCTCTGGGGGGCGATCCAGGCGAGACCGCTAAAGTAGTCCAAACACCAGTGGAGAATCAGGGATTTGTCTGGGCCCTCCTGGAGTCCTCCGTGGATCCTCTTGGGCCGTCTTGGAGGCTTCTTGGGCCGTGGCCGTCCTGGGCGTCTGGGACTGCAGTCTCCGTCAGAGGGCCAAACTGCCCCGACGAGTATCCCAAAGGGGATCGGGCGGGGGAGCGCCTTCTGACCCGAGACCCCGCCGTTGGGGCCCCCGGGACTTCCCCTCGACCCCCCCTCCTCAGCACTTTTTGGGTACTTTTGCTCCTTCGATGTCGACATGTACCCTGGTTTTCTGATATCGTGGGGCCCGCTGGCCCCCGCCTCAGCCGCCGCGTGTTCGTCCGTCGGACGCGCGCGCCTCGCCTCGTACCCTCGTACCCCCTTCCTCAGGACCCCCCTGGCGGGGAAGGGGCCTTCGGCTCGGTTACGACCTGGCATTGAAGGGGCCTCGGAAGAGCTTTACAGGGTTCTAGGGGGCAGTCACGCGGGTATCGGTACGTTCCCTCGACCTCTGCGCGACCTCTTCGCGCGGACCTTGTGATCGCGCCGATGTGGCGCTGACATTGCGCCAGGCTGGCGTTGGCATGTGCGCGCTGCCAAAATCTGTGCGGGTGGGCGCGTTGATCTGCAGGCCACCGTCATCTTGGTAGTCACTAGGTGGGCAGAGTCTTCATCGCCGCCACCGTCATCAGCATCCGCGCCATACATACAGATGTAAACAAATACACATACATGTTTACATGTGTGTATGTATATATGTATGAATACTTATCACAAAGTAACCATGCACTGGCAAGCCATTGGCGGCAGTCGCACAACGTAGAAACCAATTCTGGTTCAAGCATTCGACGGGGAGATGCACACACGTGCATTCCGTGTCCGGGCGTTTCTGTCAATGAGTGTCCCTATGAGAGGGTTTGTATCTGTGGCGGCGGAGCGCTCAGATGCTGATGCAGTGGGAAAATATGAAAACAACATAAGAAATTAGCCTGGCGAAGAACCCAACCATATGCAGTTGTCAGTACCGCAGCTGCGGGTTTCATCTTCAATGGAACTCCCCATAGGGCCACGGAACGTGTGAGGGGTGTGCCGAGATGGGTGCCACTGGGGCATTCGGTGAAGCTCCCTATGTGGACATGAAACACGCGCGGGGCGTGCCGACATGGGTGGCGGAAACGCATGTGAGGGCCGCCACTGGGGCCTCCAGTGGAGCTCCCTAGGGGTCCCCGAAACATGATGCTGTTGCGGGGGGGGGGCCGGGATGGGTGGCGGAGACGCATGTAAGCGCCGCTACTGGGGCCTTCGGTGGAGCTCCCTATGGGGCCACGAAGCGTGTCAGGGGTGTACAGGGATGTGTGGCGGGGACGCATTTGAGCGCCGCCACTGGGGCCTTCGGTGCAGCTCCCTATGGGGCCACGAAACGTGTGAGGGGTGTGCCGAATTGAGTGCGGGTGGTGCGGTGCCACTGGGGCCTTCGGTGGAGCTCCTTATGGGGCCACGAAACTTGTTGTTGTGAGGGGCGTGCCGGGATGGGTGGCGGGGACGCATGTGAACGCGGCCGCTGGGGCCTTCGGTGGAGCCCCCTATGGGGCCACGGAGCGTGTGAGGGGTGTGAAGAATTGGGTGGGTGTGGGTGACGCATGTGAGCGCCGCCACGGGGGCCTCCGGTGGATGATGGGGCCACGAAACCTGTGAGGGATGTGCCGAAATGGGTGTGCGGGACGCATGCGCATGTGAGCGTCGCCATTGGGGCCTTCGGTGGAGCTCCCTATGGGGCCACGAAACGTGTGAGGGGTGTGCCGAATTGGGTGTGGGGACGCATGCGGGCGGCAGCACTGGGGCCTTCGGTGGAGCTCCCTATGGGGCCACGAAACGTGTGAGGGGTGTGCCGGGGTGGGGACGCACGGCAGCACTGGGGGTGGAGCTCCCTATGGGGCCACGAAACGTGTGGGTGTGCCGAAATGGGTGTGCGGGACGCATGCGGCGGCAGCACTGGGGCCTTCGGTGGAGCTCCCTATGGGGCCACGAAACGTGTGAGGGGTGTGCCGAATGGGTGTGCGGGACGCATGCGGCGGCAGCACTGGGGCCTTCGGTGGAGCTCCCTATGGGGCCACGAAACGTGTGAGGGGTGTGCCGAAATGGGTGTGCGGGACGCATGCGGGCGGCAGCACTGGGGCCTTCGGTGGAGCTCCCTATGGGGCCACGAAACGTGTGAGGGGTGTGCCGAAATGGGTGTGCGGGACGCATGCGGGCGGCAGCACTGGGGCCTTCGGTGGAGCTCCCTATGGGGCCACGAAACGTGTGAGTGTGTGAAGGGATGTGCCGAAATGGGTGTGCGGGACGCATGCGGGCGGCAGCACTGGGGCCTTCGGTGGAGCTCCCTATGGGGCCACGAAGCGTGTGAGGGGTGTGCCGAAATGGGTGTGCGGGACGCATGCGGGCGGCAGCACTGGGGCCTTTGGTGGAGCCCCCTATGGGGCCACGAAACGTGCGAGGGGTGTGCCGAAATGGGTGTGCGGGACGCATGCGGGCGGCAGCTTTGGGGCCTTCGGCGGAGCTCCCTATGGGGCCGCGAAGCGTGTGAGGGGTGTGCCGAAATGGAGGAGGGAGAAGGGGGGCAGCGGGACGCAAGGAAGGAAGGAAGGACGGAAGGAACGCGGGGCGACGTCTCCTCAAAACGAGGACCCAACACCACAGGATGGTTGGGAATAAGACAACACCAATACACATATACAGTAATGACATATAAGAGCACGACAACTATGTTTATGCAGTGGATGATCTAGGAAATTCGCCTCACAGGTCCCCTGATTTGAGCGCGAACGGGCAAGTGTAAGCCGAATGCAATTTCTACCACATCGCTGCGACCACAGCAACTCGAGCGCCTCGCTAGAGACATCCCCAGATTCTCAGTGCGAGCGGGACCGCGAGATACCCCCAGTAAGGGGCCCCCCCATTGGTGTCGCCGGGTGCCGTGCCTGCTTTATCGCGGTGGCCGTGGGGCTCTGAAGAGAGATTCGTCCACTATGCCAGGCGAGCGCCTCGCTCGAGACAGCAGCACAACCTGAGCACGAGCGGTCCCGTGAGGTGCCGAGTCCATGGCGGCTCCCCTTTTAGGGAGACCGAGCGTCATGTTATGCTTGCTGCATCGCGGAGGCCACAGAGTGCTGAGCAGAGAATCGTCCGTTGGGTTAAGCAAGTGCCTTGGCCGAAGCATCACCACAGCGCAAGCGTGTGAGATACCCCCTGGCGGCTCCCCCTCTGGGGGTGCCCGAGTGCTATGCTTGTTTCATCGCGGTGACAGTGGGGCTCTGAAGAGAGACGCATCCGCTGGTCCAAACGGGCGCCTCGCTCGAGAAATCCGAACACGTTGAGCGCGACCGTGCCCGCGAGAAACCCTCTGGCGGCTCCCCCTCTCGGTGCCCGAGGGCTGCGCCTGCTATACCGCGGTGCCCATGGGTCTATGCAGAGAGACCTGTCGCTAGGGCTCAGGGAGCGCCTCTCCCAGAGACGTCCCCATCGTCCGGGCGCGACCGGGCCCGTTGTATACCCCTCTGACTCCTCCTCCTCCTCCTCCTCCTCCTCCTCCTCCTCCTCCTCCTCCTGGACTCCTCCTCCTCCTCCTCCTCCTCCTCCTCCTCCTCCTCCTCCCTCCTCTCCCCTCCCTCCTCTCCCCTCCCTCCCCTCCCTCCTCCGCCTCCCCCTCCCTCCTCTCCCCTCCTTCTCCTCGGCCGAGTGTTATGCTTGCTGCACCTCGGAGACCATAAGGCTCTCACGTGAGACTCGTCCACTGGGCAAAACGAGCGTCTCGCGACCGGGCCTGTGCGGTACCCCTCGGGCGATTCCCGTTGGGGCGGCCCGGTGGCGTGCCTGCTGCAGAAGTGAGGCTCGCCCGCTGTGCAGAGCGAGCGCCTTGCTCGAGGCATGCCAACCATCTGAGCGCGAGCGGGGCCGCTGGGTATCCCTTGGCTGCTCCCTCTTGGGGTGCTCGAGTGCAATGCTCGAGACGTCCTGCGTCGCTGTGATCACGAGCGAGCCCGCGCACGAGGAGCGAGGATGAGTGGGTCTGGGTTGCAAGAAGACGGAGTGCGAGGTTCTGGTTGAGTCTGAACCTGCGTGTGAGAAATTCTGGATATGACTGATCATAGTGTCAGCGGTCTGCGTGTATGGCTCAGCTGAGTATGGATCGATTTGAGAGTGAGTGGTCTGAGTATGAGTGTATCTGACTATGGCCGTGTTTGAGTATAAGTGGATATGTGTGCGCGTGGTGTGACTTGTGAGTGTGGATGTGAGTGAGTCTGAGTATGAGTGAGTCTGTCAGCGCGTCTGAGTCTGAGCATGAGTGAGTCTGAGTGTGAGTGGGCCTGCGTGTCATTGAGTCTGAGTGAGAGTAGCTGAGAATTGATTACCACTTGATCTGAATGTGTGTGCGCGGCCTGCTGCAGAATAATCCGAGGGTGAGTGAGTCCAGATGTGAATGATTGAGAGTGAGCCCGTGTCTGATGGAGACTGTCAGTGCGTCTGAGTGTGAGTTTGAGTGTGAGTGGGTCTGCGTGTCAGTTCATCTGCATATGAATGAGCCCAGTCGTTGAAGGGAAGGAGAGGGGAAGGATGAAAGGGGAAAGAGGGAGATGGAAGCGTCACATGAATAGCAAGAACACCTTCTGTGAACTTTGGGAACATATCTAACGCTGCTGCAGACATGCACCGACATAGACACGCAGAGGCTGCCTGAGACTTTACATCTCACGCGGATCTCGCGCGGAGTGTCGAATCCTCGAACCGGCATGGCGCGAATCTATGAAGTCTCGTGATTGCGCCGCGCGGCCGGCAGTGGAGCTGCGCGGCCGGCGGGGCGTCCGTGCCCGGACGCCCGGACCTCGGGGTGCCTGGCGGCCCGGCGTCGCACCGCAGGCGTGACGGCGGATGCCGGGCGTGCCTGGAGGGAGGCGGAGCGAGACCCGGACCCTCTGTCGGAGTCATGTCAGAGCCCCGAATCATCGGGGGTAACTCGGGTCAGGGCGAACTCGGGTTCGTTTTCCGGGGGTCCGAGCCCGAGTTACCCCGGACCCGAGTTTCCCCGGATAACTCGGGGGTCCAGAGCCCCACATCCTCAGGGGTAACTCGGGTCAGGGCTAACTCGGGTTCGTTTTTCGGGAATCCGACCCCGAGTTACCCCGGACCCGAGTTTCCCCGGATAACTCGGGCGTCCAGAGCCCCACATCATCAGGGGTAACTCGGGTCAGGGCTAACTCGGGTTCGTTTTTCGGGAATCCGAACCCGAGTTACCCCGGACCCGAGTCACCCCGGATAACTCGGGCGCCCAATCATGAAACACCACGGCAGGTTTCTTGCTGTTGTCGGCCTTTGGAGGGCCAGGACCGGGCCTCGGGGCCGTCACATCATTTTTCATGATTGAAGACCCTTCCTGGGGGATGGTCGACAAGACGTGGGAGTGATCCTTCGCCGGAATTTACCTTTGATGCGGGCCCACTCGGGCCCCCCGATTGCCGACGCGATGCGATGCCATGGTCCCCCCGCGGCCCAACAAGAGTACGCGCACGAAAGGCTACTCTTACCCAGGGTCACTCTTTGCGTGTAGCCGACATGGGTCAAGACTTCTGGGAGCCGACGTTCTGCAGCAGTCATGACGGCGGGAATCCGGGGACGCCCCCGCCAGCGGGGCGCCTCTTGCGGGCGCCCTTGGGCGGGCCTTCCAGGTGCTGCCCGTTTCCGAGGGGCTGCCGCTTGCCCTCTGTTCGGGGGCGGCCGAGAGGGGGGTGATGACCAGGGGAGGGAGCTCATGGCGGGGGCTATGCGACCCCGGCCCCACCCCCTGGGCCGCGCACATGCTGCCGGCCATGGCTTGCGCCCTCCCCTCTTGGACGGCCTTGGATCGGGGGTTCGCAGAGGAAGGGTTCTCCCAAGCTGGGCCCAGCTGGACGGGGCTGGGGAACGGGCCCAGCTGGACGCTCCCGTTCCACGCGCTCCCTTCTTCCAGGGGCCGTCCAGAGCGATGTTCCTTCCAACCCCACCTTTGCCCCAACTCCACCTTTGTGCCCCCCCCCAATTGGACGGCCCCCTATTTGACGCCCCCGATCTGTGTCCTCTGCCAGCGGGCTTCGCCGGATGGTGACAGAGAGGTGCGGGCCCATTGGGCGCTCCCCGTCGCTGCCGCCATGGGCCACGGTCGCGACGACGTGCGCCGCCTTGGGATGCGATGCCCCCGGGAGAGACGCACCAGAGGCCTCCTCCTCCCCCCTCTCCTCATCCTCCCTCCTCCTCCCTCCTCCTCCTCCTCCTCCTCCTCCTCCTCCTCCTCCTCCTCCTCCTCCTCCTCCTCCTCCTCCCCCTCCTCCATATCCTCCTCCTCCTTGTCCTCATCCTCCTCCTCCCTACTAAGGTGCCATTTCGCACATCGAGCAATTCAGGCAGCTCTCTTCAGTATCTAAACCAACCCCGCAGTATTGAGGAGTCATGTTCCAGCGATGAGGGAGCTGGTCTGCATTGTTGTGAAATTCACCACCAGCTTGGCTCTCGTACCATTCAACCCGTTGTCATGCTGTCAGGACAGATTGGCGGATATCGACATGGAGTGCAACAACTACAACTATGTAGACTTCACTGGGGCCAAGAGGAGAAGGCAGGGTACAGAGGCAACCAAGGCGGACACGGAGGACGCGCGGCATAAAGAGGCAGGAAGGGTAGAGACACAGTACCCGAACAAGTCGGCAGGAGTATTCGCAGAGTGGAACGGATACCGTCGGGGAAACCAACTTGATTTTCAAGAATTTCCAGGAGACCTAATTCCAGCTACTCGATACCTAGGACAGCTCGCGGACGCGAACCAACACAATTCCGACGAACTCGGGAAGGGCCTGGCGGCCATACATGAGTACTATCGAGAAGGAGGGCGCTTCTGGGTGGCACACAGTACAAGTGGAATAGGGAGACGTTGGGCGGTCGAGCTGAAAACACAGGGTTGAACGGTTTCATCAAACACCACCACAATTTGGCGGATCTCCTGACCACGAATAAGAAACACATCCAGCGTGGGCAGCCAACCCGAAGCAACAATACAGCTGGGCGGCAATCGTCGAGATCGATGACCAAGTTTTTTCATGAGAGATGGGACTTGGAACCAGGTCGAGCGGACGTCCTACTACAGGAAGTGTCCGACTGGCAGCCACTCGGAGTGAGAAGGAGATGCTTACCGCCCGCGTTTCCATCGCACATTACAGACGTACGGGCACGTTTGAGGACACGCCGACGAGAGCGAGCTGGAAGAGAGGAGCGTACGCGCAGCTGTAGGGCAGCGACCGCGTGAAGGGCCGACAGGACAACAAAATCAAGGACCACACACCGAAGTTGACAGAGACGCTCGTGCTCACCGCGACCTGAGAGACCGCGGAACTGACGGAGACGATGATCGAGACGTGGGAGGCGGACGCAGATCTTCCAGTAACCAGCGACGGGCTACAAGAGGGCACAGACTACAACGTAGACGCGCAGGACCGCATGAAGAGGGCCGAAACGGACGAGAAAGTGGGCTTGGGTCGGCCCCACCTCATCGCGTGGACCAAAGTGGAGCAGAAGATGGACCGGGACAAGGCGAATCGGGCGCAGCAGACACTCAAGAAGTACTACAAAAAAAGGCGACGAGGCAAGCCGACGCACACAAGCCGAACACTAGCATCATGATTATCCGCGCCAAGAAAAACAAGGGAACGGTGGCTCAGGGAAAGGCGAAGGAGAGGGACCGTTTCACTTTCAACCCAGAGTGCGGCGCGATCGAGACAGCGTCGAGGTCGCAGGGTGCCAGGAGGATGTGTGGGACTGCGCCGGTGGGGGTCCGCAGTGAGAGGCGCAGTAGTTTTGACAGACAGGTCAGCACATCCTTACCCCATACCTCCAGCCGTTGCCAGCAGCGCCAGGTTTAGAGACACGGCGAATTCTAGAAGACTCCTTTCTCCCAGGCCCCCGCCGATCGCTGCTCCTGGGCTGTATTTTTCGAGCACCCTGCAATTTCTAATTCACTGTCCCCCCGAGCCGAAGCCCGAAGGAGGGAACGGGGGGCGGGCCGTCGTCGTCTTCGGGTGAGGGCTGAGACCGGGGGAGCAGGACAGGTGGCCGTAAGACAGTCTAGCAGGCGCCATCCCGCCCAGGGCCCTCCGCGTGAGAGGCGAGGTGCAATCGTTTGCTGGCGACTGCAGGCCCTCGATGAAGTGGCATACTACATAGGAACATCCGCCAGAACTCTTGATAGCGACTAGGGGACGAGGTCGAGCCCCAGAGTAGTCGATTCAGCAGGGATCCTAGGTAGGTCAAGGTCAAGGTCCTTCTCCCTCCTCCTCCTTCTCCTTCTCCATGTCCTCCTCCTGCTCCTCCTCCTCCTCCTCCTCCCTCCCTCCTCCCTCCTCCTCCTCCTCCTCTTTTTCCTCCTCCTCCTCCTCCTCCTCCTCCTCCTCGTCCTCCTCCTCCCTCCTCCGGTGTGCGCCTCGGTGAGAGGCGCGCATCGGAGGCCTCGCCTACCTCTCAGGCCCACTTTTCGGGCGAGGGGAGCATGCGCAGGTGCACCGATCCTTGCCCCACGCTCCTATTGAGCCCAGGGTCTGTGCGTATGTGACTCCCCAGCCAATCCAGGAGAGCGCAGGCACCGACCCCTTGCCCCAGGAGAGGCCTGGTCGGCATCGGTGCGCGCGCAGGGTTCTCTTCCTTCTGGCTCGAGCATGTTGCTGGCTCCAGCGAGGCTGCCCACGATGCCTCCCCAGGCTGGAGGTCGGCGTCGTATCGAGCGGGCCGTGGAGGTGTCTCGTGACGCGGGGCCATATCGAGGGCCATCCTCAGGCCCATCGCGCTGGAGGCGTTGGTGTCGCTTGCCCGTGGCTGCACGTAAGCGTGACCCTGTGCCCGCACGACGTGTTGGTGCGGGACCACATCGGTCGCCCCAGAGCTGGTTTGCGCGAGCGTGCCTGCCAAACCCCCGGCCATCGAGAGCCGCGTGCCAAGGGTTATTCCTGGAACCTGCCAGGTAGTTGATGGGATTGTGTTCTATCCCACGTGGTCAGGAGAGGCAGATCGACGCAGACACGAATACCAGTCGATTCCAATCAAAATAGTGGAATTGGAGGTGGAGACGACAGCCAATCAGCTATGTGAGAACAGTGGGAATGCTGGATTTCGTATGTGTACATGTATGTGTCTCCCTGGGTCCCTTCGCGGCCCTTGTCGCCCAGGTCTGGGCGGTGCCGGGCGTCGGCCCGTCGCGGCGCTGTCGCCGCTTCTGGCCCCCCAGCATCCGCTCGTGTGTTGTGTGTGCGTGGCTGTTTTCTGCCTGGCCTCGCGGTACGAAGCAGGAGCCACCTCCCCGACGCGTTCCTTTTTGTCTCGGCAGTTCCTCCTCCATCCCCCCCCGTCCTCCTGCCCCCCCGGGTCCTCCCCAGGCATCCCCCATCTCCCGTCTGGCTCATCCGCCTCTTCCGTCCCCTTCTTCCCTCCCTGTCCTGCTCCCCTTCGTGCCTGCCCAGCACTTCTTCTCTTCACGCCTCACCTGCTCCTCCCTCGTCTTCTTCTTCCTCCTCCTCCTCCTCCTCCTTCTTTTCCTCCTCCTCTTGTCCCTCCTCCTGTTCCTCCTCCGTGGCCATAGTGGCTCAAGATCCCAGCGTTGGCAGGCACAGCGCATGCAGGCGTCTACGGCGTATCTTTGTTCCAGAGCCAGCGTTCGAGAACATTCTCCTTTTACAGATCGCCATATCCGCGGCTGTGGCTGAGAGGGCGGTTTCCGCGCAAAGGCCGAGAAGAGATCCCGCCGAAGTGACAAAGTGGAACTTCAAGAATTGCTGGGTCCCCTGTGCCATCTCCCCGACAGCAAGAGCGTGAAATATTCCCAAGGGAGCCCGACCATGGCACGAAGCTGCTGCCACCGCGAGCATTCGGCAAGGGCGACGTCCTCAAACGCGACCTGGAGGAGCTATTGGCCAGGCAGCTGGCTGAAGCCGCAGATGTATTCCGCGTCACAGCAGAGAAGGCTTCTGCTGACGCGCAGGCCCAAATCATGGAGCACGTTCGCAGCGTCGCAGCCACTCTCGCTCTCTCGTTCTCTCTCTCTCTCTCTCTCTTTTTCTTTTTTTGTGTTATCGTTCTTTCTTTCTTTCTCTCTCTCTCTGTCCGAGCGCCAGGATGCCGACGATAACGACCTGGTTGAGATCACGCGGAGGATGGTTGCCACCGAGATCTCCAACGTTCTCTGAACCGGTGGACAAAATCAAGGCTGCAATCGTGCTTGCGCAAGCTTAGCTACCCGGCATGGACATCTCCAACCTAACCTCGGTTCCCGGGAGCGCCCCGGACACATCGGCACGTTTTGGTGCGGCCCCACGGTCGACATCACGAAAGACGTTCTCGCGCCGGCTCTGGCTCCAGGGTTTGCAGCAGCAGGCGTTGACATGGCAAACGTTCGCCACAACAGCAACAACGACGACACACCGTCCAAGAGAGTTTCGTTTGGTCACGCGTTTGCGCGACATCGGGCACACACTCATCATCATTATCTGCGCGATGGCCGTGAACTTCCTGCTCGACGTCAACGCCGACAGGAGTCCTAAGCTCGTGCGTCAGGAGATCCAGCTCAATCGCTTGGCGAAGTTGGTCACCGAGTCCTTCCCGACGCTCCAGCCTCGCATCCACAGGTCCGACGGCGACGTTTCGATCAACAGCGCCTCGATCGTGCGCTTCATCGTCGGGCACCGCCCTGAACCAACTGCCCACACGGATCCAATGGTCGAATGCTGCGGACGCTAATGGCTTGGGCCCTCGCGCTCGGAGGGAAATCTGTGAACTGGATGAAAACGTACAGCAGCTTTCGCAGGCCCCGCCACCGTGGCGACGTGCCTTTACAAGGAGCGTGGATCTGTTGGGCATAACGCGCGTTATGCCCCCCCCCCTTCCCCCCACCCACCCGCATAACGTAACGCCCCCCCCCCCCCCGCTAGTGCGCCCGCAGCACTGCCATTCTGATGCACGCAGGCTACTGTGGTGCATGCAAGCTACTTCGACGTTCACGGCCTAGCGTGGCGTTGACTGGCTCGTTGCCCGTGTTCGCAGACATGTTGCTGCGCTCGCAGGCTTGTGTCGCACATGCAGGGTCCGACAGTTTTTGCGCACGCGTGCAGGGTTGACTCGGTACTCTGTTGCTGGCAGGGCCGCTAGAATTGTGGTGGTGGCATGGTCGCAGAAGAAGTGGCAA